TGAGGTATAGTTTGAAAGGCTGCGCGTTTGGCTAAACGCATACGCTGAGCCGCTTCAGACAGAGCACCAGTAGCGCTTCAATGCACGAAAACACACACAATTATGTCAAAATGCACGGTTTTGGCGAGTTACCTTGTAAACGAGCTGATTAATTTTTTTTAGCTTGAATAAAGATTAATGTGTATAGTTTATGCATATATAATATAGTTTATGTGAAGATTGTTTTAAAATCACTTAAATTAAAAGTTGTTATATATTTCAGAGTCTATTAAATGTTAAAAATAATGGCTTTCAATTATACTGTAATGTTAAATGGCTATAATTAATAGGTAAAATTATATATATATATATATATATAAAGGCTAAATCATATAAATACAAACAATACTAAAATAACACTGATTCAGAGCCATGCGATAGCTTAATGTGAGGAAATGTAGCAAATTTAGATTAAAACATGCAGAAACCAATGATTTGGCTTACCTATTTGGTGTTACAAAATCTGTGCAACAATTTTGAATCATGCATTTTTTTTTTTTTGAGCTTGACTGCCTTGGTATGTAAAATGCTTCAAAAAGTTTTCCTTTTGTGTTCCATAATAAAAATAACACCATACTGGTTTGAAATGACATGAGAGTGAGTTAATAGTGACAGAATATGAACTATTAATTTAACCTTATGTCATGTATTCCTCATACACCTCTTCCATTCCATCTTTATTGCATGTAACCGAACACACACACACCTCTCTCTTTGATCAAAATCTCCCCTCTGACCTTCTTCTACACACACACTTTCTTGTGACCTTGTTGGCTCTCTCCCTCTCCTCCCCTTTTCCGTGTCTGTGCGTGTGTGTGTGTGTGTGTGTGTGTGTGTGTCTGCCAGTGACTGACTAACGTGCGTGCAGGCCCCCACCCTCAGTGTGTGTGTGTGAGTGTATGTCAGTGGCCAGCCTGACTAATGTGTGTCCTGGCCCCCACCCTTCCCATCCATCAGGCCCTGCACATTGTTTTGACATCTAGTTAATTCTCGCCTGATGATTTATCAAACTCTTATTACGGGCCGCTGAAAGCCTCATTTATTGTCTTGATGTATGGTAATGATAGGCCTACTGCAGCCCTCCTGAATCTTAACTAACTCCTCTACTTCTCTCCCTCTCTCTTTCTGCTTTTATCATCCCTCCCTCTCCCTCTCCGTCTCTTCTGTTCACATTAGGTCATTGCCAAGTGCTTTATCACTTTCTAAGTCATTGTTTCTCATCCAAATATATTTACCACCCTACTATAAAGTAGACAAAAACAAATTGTATTTGAAAAGTGTAGTATGTTCCAATTCACAGTATTCATAAAACAGTAAAAAAAAATAAAAAATACCTGGATGACCTACTATAGAAAGAGTCAATGAATAAATCTCTATTAAATACACAGACTGATGTGCAAACACATACAGGCGGAGTGATCTGTAAAGCACTGCACATCATCGCTATTGGAATGCTGATCGACCAGTCAGATTCAAGGACCGGAACTATAGAGGTAAATATGTGTGCCTCAAATAAGATTTGAGAGCTGTGTCAAAGACAATAGTTATTAATAAATAACAACTTATATTTCTGTTCCTCACACAAAATGTATCATATGACTTCAGAAGACTAAGTATAATGGTACATTTTGTTTTGCTTGGCAGTAAAAATAAAAGTTCAATGTATGGAAAAAGCAGTCATATGAACATTATTTGACATCATATCACATTTTGTTTTCAATGAAAGAGAGGATTTTTTTCAATGGCAAGGATTTGCTTCAAGAAGCCTCAGATAAATTTGCATAAAAACAGCATGACTGCAAGTTTGATATTGCTGTTATATAATAGTTCAATCAATAAGAAGTTAATATTGAGTAACTTACATTTTATACACTGTTACTGTTACTTTGCCTGTTTTTGCTCCACCAACAAACAGAAATACAAATGAAGCCACAGTAGGATCACTGTACATCTCTGAACAACACTCTTGTCTGGAATCACATAGGGGTACTGTCCCTTTAAGATGAGATGCTAAACATCATAATTCCTTATTTTTTTTAGCTACTACTATTGTACACTGAGAACAAATGAACGACCATGTAAAGACGGAAATGGAGATATTCAAGGTCCTGTAGCATGACTATCCTTCTCTTTCACTGTATCCACTCGTTTTTCAGTCCCCAAGAGAGAGAGAGCCCCTGGGGGTCTTTAAATACTTTATTGGGCTTTAACATTACCTTAATGTCTCTCAGCATTTCATCTGCCTACAGCCTAATGGGAAGTGATGGCAGCCATGTTCCTTTGCAACAACGACCTGAAACACATGTGGGTTCAGTTTCTCTTTTGCAGGTGTGTGTGTGTGTGTTTTCTTTTAGGTAATGGCGCTCTCTCTCTCTCTGTTTTAGTTGAATGTCTCACCACAGGAAATTATGTGTGAGATTATTCTGTTCCACCTGTGACTGAAATGGCTCCTCCGTCTTTAGCCCATTACACCCAGTAAATGCCATAGATTTCTTCGCACAGATTTCGGCACATCGCATTAACTTTATGTTAGTCTGTAAGGTCTATAGACTACTGGTTTCCGTTCTGCTTGATCGCCGCTGACAGTGGATCAGAGAACTGCTGGTGTGTGCGACTCCTCGGGAGCATCGGATATCAGCTACAATAAATCTACAATGACTTTGTTACTGACACATAACAAAACACTCTGTTTAATAATTCACTGTAGAGCAAGAACGGGGGCTATTAGCTATTTGCTGCAATGCAATAAAAGGCTTGTGAAAAATCAATACAGCCAGACTATTTCCTGGACAGTCTTTCGACCACATTCCTAATGGATCTGTGATCATTATCGTTGTGCTCATGTCATTTAAATGTGGCTGTGCCTTGAATTTTTCAAGTTTAAGGTTCAAATCTACGTCTTGGATGTCCTGTTTGTCAATAGCAGGGATTTGCTTCAAGAAGCCTCATAAATTAGCATAAATTTACAAGTAGGGCTTAAATGAATAGTTCAGCCAATAATGAAAATGCTGTTGTCATTTCCTCACTGTTCCAAATCCTTTCGTGTAAAAAAGTGAGTCGGCCACAGGTAATAAAAAACAGCTGTGTTGATATTCTGAAAAACAGCACGACTGCGAGTGTGATATTGCTTTTGTACAACAGTTCAATCAACAAGAAGATAATATTGAGTAACTTACATTTTACACACTATGTTGCCTGTTACTTTGTCTGTTTGAACAGAATTCCAAATGAAGCCACAGTCGAACCGTCGCAACATCTGAGCAACACTCAGACTGGCGTCTCATTTGTGAATGAATCGTTTTTGAGCAAATCAGTTGAATGAATTATTCAATGGTTGCATCCAGGGCCTAAAATTAACACTCGCCAAGCACCAAATGTGAGTACAAATCAGCGTTGGCTAGTCCATGTAACAGTGTCAGTCGCCAGTTGGCGGATACAACTTTTACGAATTATAACAATGCAATGAAGTGAAAACAACCAGTTTTTAAAGAGATTCGCTGTTTCTGACATAAGCGAATAAAATAATCTTTTCCGAAGACAAGATCATCGTGATTAGCTGTTCGGAACATGATGATGTCACTTAGTATTTGGAGTATCCAGTGTTCCGTTATGTGCAGGATAATTATATGACTTCTATATCCCGCTAAAACTGTGCACACTTACGTAATCTGGATTTACATCTAATCTAGACAGGAAAAGAAATTTAAGAAATTAGTTTTTCTCCTTTCATCATCATATCTTTCTCCACTCTCTCACCTTCTCTCACTCTCCCTCTTTCTGCAGATGAGCGATGAGAAGAACAGTGAAAGAGGTCAGACATTAGCAGGGCTATCTAATGACTGTTGCAGCTCGGCATTATGGGATGGGTGATCTGTCAACGCCTGTCAGAGACAGGCCTTCCATTAGGGTTGCACCTGAGTGATGACACACACACACACACACACACACACACACACACACACCGTTTCAGACACCTCACAACATAACGGTTCCAGCGCTGCTATGCATCATGTGTCATTCTAGAGCCCTCTATTTAATGACCCTGTCCATCCACACACACACATCGCTCAATGTAAATTACACCTGACCCAAGGGGACAGGCAGGAGGACAGCGAGAAGACAAGAGAGTGAGACAGTGTGAAAGGAGATGTCTTTATTAAACTGAACATGAGACGCAGGTTATCAGACATGCATGCGTGTGAATGCATGTTATCAGTCATATGCATATGTAATTTATATGTGGCATTTGAGGGTTTGCTGAGGGTTGAGGGTTTTGCATGGCTCTGATATGTTTATGACGTTATCTGTGAATTAGTCAGGGGCATAACAACCATTACAACTAGAGGGGACAGGGCCTTTCTGAAAAAAAATCATTATACCGTATTGACCCGAATATAGGACGATCTGAAAAACGCGGTCGTCTTATATTCAGGGTCTAGACTTTGACATGTCAATAATACACCCACAACAATAGGTGGCGCCAAATACGCATAAAACGAGTGTGCCATGAAATACGTAATGTAATGCGTGTTGTAAAGATCGCGAGTAAAAACAAAGGAAAAAGAAAACCTTACAGCTGCATGAGTTGTGACTGTCACGTTAGCCTGATGGGCCCAAACTCACTTTGTGATTTTAAAAGGTAAGACAGTACCCAGATTTGAACACTACAGTAAGATTTAACTTCTACTGTTAATAAGATTTTGGTAGGCTACTATTAGATGGATAGCCTAAATGTCCTAATTCATCGTCTTATATTCGGGCCAATACGGTATATACATATTTGAAAGAATTTAAGACCAAGCATAAGCCTCTGCCAGCTGAACTGAATGAGCACACATGCAGTAAGCAGTAATAAACTACATTTACATTTCAAATCCTAGTGAGCTGCCTTTACTTCCTACGTAGGAAGTGTCCTATAGATGAGATGGAACACTCTTTAGGGCTTTCAAACGATTAATTGTGATTAATCGCATACAAAATAAAAGTTTGTGTTTACATAAATTACGTGTGTGTACTGTGGATATTTATTATGTACAGTATCTCACAGAAGTGAGTACACCCTTCACATTTTTGTCAATATTTTATTATATCTTTTCATGTGACAACAAGAAATGACACTTTGCTATAATGTAAAGTAGTGAGTGTACAGCTTGTATAACAGTGTAATGTTTGCGGGCTTTCTTGTGCATCATCTTCCTTCTGGGACGACATCCATGCAGACCAATTTGATGTAGTGTGCGGTGTATGGTCTGAGCACTGACAGGCTGACCCCCCACCCCTATTGTGATCAATCGTTTGACAGCCCTACGCTTTAGTTTATACTATACTAAGCAGTATTTTAATAAAGTTTAATCTATCCATTGATCTATCTATCTATCTATCTATCTATCTATCTATCTCCATTCATCCATCTATCATCTGTCTATCTATCCATCCATCTATATATCTATATATATCCATCCATCCATCTATCTGTCTATCTATCCTTCCATCTATCTATATATGATGAGATCATCACCCTTTCTTTCCCTTAGGCCCCTCAGTCCTTGTTTCTTGATGAGAACGAATCACCTGTTCTTTCATCCCTTCTCTCTCGTCTTCTCTGTCCCTCTCTTTCACTGTCACCCTATCCGTCATCTTATCCCCGGTTATAATACAGCCCATATGAGTTGATTGGCCTGAGATGGTCTCCACACACTTTCATTTAGCCTCTCTCCCCCTCACACATATACTCTGTCTCTGTCCTTCTCCTCTATCCTTATTCCATCTCTCTCCCTCTCCGTCCCTCCTTCCTTGCTCCAGCTCCTTATTGCTCTATCAATCTCTCCCAGCAGAAGATCAATACATGCTTGCTTGCTTTCCTTCTCTGTCTCTCTTTCCTCGCTCACTCTTTATCTACCACTTCACCAGGGGGGACTATATTGGTAAAAAGAGAAAATATTGATTTTAGGCTGCCATTATAATCCGTGTATCATTCGATCATTCGTTTTTTTATTTAATATTGAAAGTAGAAAAATTAGAAAACTGCTCCTTTTTCGTTTTTTTGTTTTTTTTCCAAAAAACGAAAAACGAGAATTCAGCTTAAATTTTCGTTTTTCGTTCATGGGTGGAAAAATGAATAAACAGCTTGAATATTCGATTTCTACACATGGGCGGGAATTAAACGCCCCTTTCTGCTGATTGGTCAGCCGAAGATCAAACCGTGCTCAATATTAAATAAAAAAACGAATGATCGAATGATACACGGATTCATTATCATTAAGAACAACTGTTTTTTTTTTTGCACCATAGAAATCTCTTAATTCAATTTTAAATTGTGTGTGATGTTTAATCAGTCTGTACCAGTTGAGAGATGCAGATTCAATTGTACTGATTCCAGTTGGTGATGTTTTTTCTAAATTGGTTTTGCATAGATATAATTTGTACATAACTGTGACTAGGACCTATGTATTGACTTAATATTGACTTTAAAAAGGAAACAGCTATATTCTTCAACCTTGCAATTATGTCATTACTTATTACAAAAACAAAAAACACAACCCCGTGGCTAACAGGACCCTGACATAAAAGCCTTGCATTAAATTTAGCTTTGGTGACATCTCTGCAGAGATAGGACACACATGACAGCCCAGCGGTAGACAGACAGGCCTGCCAGCTCTCCAATTACAAAATCACAAACACACACACACACGGGAAGGTAACACACACTAATTTGACAAGCTGAAATGATGCCCATTCATATCATTTTACTCCAGCAGCCCAAGGTAAATATTTCCACTACCCTAGTATAAATAGCCCACCAATATTTGAACAGCTGAGAAAGAGAGCGCGACAGAGAGAGAGAAAGGAAGAGAGATCTTTATCCTTTATACATGTTTATACATATTCATAAACTGTCACTCTTAACAAGACACTGAAGCTGGAATATTGACTCGCTGCCCCCTTAGTACGTGTCTCTCCGGCTTTGGAGGAGAACGAGATAATGAAAAAGTATCAGTAGATTTTGAGCCGCTTGTCTAGAGAGCTGAATAGTTGTCTGACAGCTTTTGTTGTAAGGTGCAGAGGATCTGAAAGTAATTCATCAAACCCTGATCAGTAATGAATGCACACTAATCCCTATAGCGGTGTTAGAAGGCCTGAGGGATAATGGGGATTCCTGTCCAGAAATGACAATGGCCTGTCAATCAAACTCGCCCATTAGGTGCCACTTGCGCTGCCTGTGTAAAACTTCATAAAGGCAAAACGGTCCTAACATTTCACCACGAGAGAATGTGGGAAAGAATTTTAAGTGGGTGAGTTATTTCGTTTGCTTTCTACATGCCGACGTGGCACAGTTCCAGGGGTTCCATCGCAAGGACGTATAATATGGCAAAATCTTGAACAAAGCATCTCACACCCTCCTTCCTTCCAGTCTTCCAGTTCGCTTTTCTCTGAGTCATGCGTCCCACAGAGAGAAGAATTCTAGCTCTCCTCTCACTGGTTTTCTGTCTGAAGTGGAATTTGGTGGTGAAGGTTGAGCTCATTGTTGTGGAGAGGCCGCGATTGATTCTGTCAGTCAGGTGACTGCCTCACCAGCTCACTGAACCACAAGACTATTGATTGAGAGTGATGGATACACAGCTAAATGGTGAAACACTAAGAGAGAAAGAGATGCTTGTCAAACTGTTATTGATATGCCACACCATGCACACACACATAAGTTGTGAGTTTGTTTGTAGGTGGAAGGATTTCTTCCAGATCTGACTATGAAATCCTAAACCACACCTAAACAAATGCAACTTACAAGGCAAATTATTTATCATTATTTTTTGCTTGTGTTTTAGAAGTAGCAACAAAGAACTGCCCTGTAGGAGGATAGTTAGCCATCCAGAGATTCATGCTTCTGCTAGTGGAGAAATTACCCAGCGTAACATTTAATTGCGTAAGGTTGCTTTTTTATACATTACTGCTCAAAAGGTTGTGGTCAGTAAGTTTTTTTTTTTTTTTTTAAAGAAATAAATACTTTTATTCGGCAAAGGATGCATTAAATTAATCAAAAGTGACAATAAAGACTTTCACATTGCTACAAAAAAATGATCATTTCAAATAAATGATGTTCTTTTGAACTTTCTATTCATCAAAGAATCCTTAAAGTTAAAACAAAATATATCACAGTTTCCACAAATATATTATGCAGCACAACTGTTTTCAACATTGATAATAATAAGAAATGCATCAAATCAGCATATCAGAATGATTTCTGAAGGATCATGTGATACTGAAGACTGGAGTAATGCTGAAAATTCATCTTGGCCATCACAGCAGTAAATTACATCTAAAATAGGAAATGTTTCTTTTAAATTGTAATAATGTTTCAGAATATTACTTTTTTTTACTGCATGTTTGATCAAATAAACACAGCCTTGGTGAGCATAAATTACTTCTAAAAAAAATTTAAATCTCACTGACCAACTCTTTGTGTGGTAGTGTAGCTCATTAGATAAAATTGATGTCTCAGTTATGTTACATTCAGTAACTTGGTCTCAGATTGTCTCTTAAATTGAACTTGTTTCATAACTGATGAACTTCATACAGTTATTGAACTGAACCAACACAGAACTGAACTCCTTTTTAATGACACTATTGACTTTTTTAGGGCTGCTTTACAACAGAATTCAAATTCGTCTCATATTTGATAAAGTTTTGCATCACTGATTCTGTTATTTTCCTGTTTATTATTATGCTGCTTTGAAACAATCTGTGTTGCATAAAGTGCTATATAAATAAAGGTAACTTGACTTGATTTGACTTAAAGGCTATTTTTGTGGATTCTGGGTCGTCCTTTGTTTTCTTAAAAAAAGGCACACATTGTTAAAGTTACAGTGAGGCACACACCATGGAAGTAAGTGGGGCAAGTTTTGGAGGATTTCAAAGCAGAAACGTGGAGCTTTTAATTGAAAAAAAGCTAGAGGAGACACATATGAGACTACATTTGAGGCCGTTTCTCTCAATAGAAAAAACATAGAGAAGCAGAAGTCCCATGTCGAAGTCTACATTTGCTCTCCATTTCATTTCACTGCTGTCTAGGAGAAAGAATTGAGATATTAAAGAGATATGATTTTACATAAAGTAACAATGAATTATTTAACAAAATGTTATATCAAGTAACTTTTAATGTAATTGGAAAAGCAGATGTTCTTTTAATGCCATAGCGTGTCAAACTTCAGCATGTGCGTCAACGAAGGGCCAGAATGAGAGCGAGAGACAAAAGGAATAAGAAAAGTGTGGAAGAATAGAGTGGAGGGGGATGAGAGGAGGGATAATAGAGACATAGCAGGCTGTCAGATGCTGTTAGACAGCCATGAGGATGGAAATGATGGATGATCTCCCCCTGGACCACCGACCTCCAACTCCACTTCTGATGGCTACAATATGTCTGCATTTGTCAGGTTATAGTGAAGCACACACACGCACATTAACACTCCTATTCTAGCTCAGCTGGACTCTTAATGTAAATGCGTTCCTGTGTAAACATGCTGATATCAGATCAACACAAGTGCTCTGTGTTTATATGGTAATTATTGTGTTTCATTAACTCGAATTATGTCTCGCACAGTTTATTTACATACTCTACTCTGAATTCAAAAAAAGTTGGTATTATTGCATATGCTGAGACAACGTTCTGTCAAAACAGAGCTGTTTCTGCATGCACGTGTGCGGTGTAGGTGGATGTTTACGCGTGGCTTAGACGCCGCTAGTCTAACTGATGTTGACTGGCAGGTCACGCCCACCTGTAACTCACCTGCCGTGACACATGCCATAGCTGTCATCCTCATCTCACCTGTCTCCTGTCTCCTGTCATCTCTGCCTGTCTGTCTGCAAACTAAGCGATAATACGGCACACATTTTCCACTGAGTGTGCTATGAAAAGGGAGGAAGTCTGTTTTATATCTGTGGATGAGATGACTGGTCTGGGATAAAGTGCATGTGTGTGTGTGTGACATTGTGCATTACAATGCATGTGAGAGCAAAAACATTGGTTCCTGCTGTCAGGTGATCTG